GCCCTCAGTCATCCGGAACTGCTGGGTCGCCTGGCGTGGGGTTTGAAGCAGTGGGGATTCCCACTGTGTGTGTCTTTCCTGCTCAAACCCTAGCCCTCCTGGCTGGCTCTTCTCCAGGGAGGGCTTTCTCTTGGGCTGCTACTGCCGGGCTCCCTCTGCGTACACCCTGCTAGCCCATGGCCACTCCCAGCTCTGCCCACCGAGGCTGGGGTCAGGGAGAACAGCCCTGGCTCCCTGCTTTTGCTGCTTCCACAGCCCCTAGCTAGCTCCCCAGGGCTGAGGCTTCCCGAACACAGCGTGGTGATTGCGGTTTCCGTTCCTGGGCCCTGCATCCTGCTCTGTGGCTTGGCCTTATGTCTGAGCGTCTCTGAGAGCATGACTGTCCAGCCCAGATTCTAGAAGTACGTGACTTTCCACAGCACCTCTATCCTCAGTGTTGGAACACGGCCGAGCTCAGGGCCCACAGGTGTGTTGAGTGTTTCTGTTCCAAACTGGAGGATGATGGACTGGTTGATCTCTGAATGTACCCCAGTAAACAAGATAGACTCAACGGCTGCTCTCGTAGAACTTCTAAAATAACAGAAGAAAGACCCAGGTCTTCGTGGCATGTCAATTGTGAGTTCCATTTAGAAGTGTCTCATTGCCATCAAGTCTATGCCAACCCACAGGACAAGGTCGAAGTAGTCCTGTGAGTTTCTGAGGCTGTAATTGTTTACGGGAGTAGAAAGCCCTGCCTTTCTCCTGCAGAGCGGCTGGTGGTTTTGAAGTGCTGACCTTTCAGCTAGCAGCCCAACACGTAGCCACTGGTACCAACAGTAAGTGCTTAGAGTTTATCTTGATTATCTAGTGCTATGATCATGGAAATACTACAAGTGAAAGGTTTTAGCAAACGTATTCTCCTATAGTTTACAAGACTAGATGTCTGACTATAGGGTGCTAACTTGGCGGGAGTTGGGGGTGGGGCGTGTTCCTCTGGGTCTAGGAGGTTCCCAGCACAGGAGCCCTGGGTCCAAAGGACTTACTCCATTTCTGACTTTTCCTGCTTGGGGATATTAGGTCCCTCTGCTCTCTGTTCTCTTGTTGAATCTCTTTTCCAGCTCAGTAGAGATTGACCCAAAATACAACTGCATCCTCTAGCTTGCATGCTGCCTCGTGAGCATCATAGAGCTGTGGATTTACATACAACATGTGAGCTCATTTTATCAGCTCAATTAGGGAGGATGATTTCATCATACCGAGTGCCATGGCCCATCCAAGTTGACATATACTTGGTGGTGGGGTGGTAGAGGGACACACAATTCTATCCGTAACAGCTACTAACCAAAAGTTTGGTGGTTTGAGTCTACCCAAAGTTACCTCAGAGGAAGGAGAGGTTACTTCCAAATAGCAGTCATTGCCAACCCCACTGCAGAATCAACTCAATGGCCACTGGTTTGGGTCAGAGCAGTGACCAGAAACCAGGCCACCATCGACCATGTGATCACGAAAGAGGGCGACAGCGTCTCTTCCGTGTGGGATGTGTTCACGTTGCGATGACAGCTCACCTCCAGAGCGCCAGACCTGTGCGGCTGACAGGGGCCTGTAGATGAGCAAGGCGATGCTCACAGTCAGCCAGCAAATAAGCACACCACTCAGGTGTACCCACATGGGGAGGTACTTTGATCAGCCCAAGGGGTGGCATGGAGGAAGATCCCCCTCCCCCCCACCAAGGTTTTATGCGCACCAACATTTGTGAGCACCTTACTGTACGCCACGATTGAGCTACCCCACTGTTTCTTTTCATGCAGTGGACGCACCAGGCCTGCACCGCTCTGCTGTGTAACCTTGGCCTTTCAAGTG